TCGGGGGTCATTTGTTCCGATGGTGGCGATCCCGTTTCATGGGACAAAGGTACAAAACAAGGTTTCTCAACTGCTCTTACCATTAATTATTTTACCATGATCGGATTCGATCATTTGTACCAATGATGGCGGTCGTTCAAGGTACAGGACACAATTCTGTATTAACCGAATCTGGTGGTAGCACTTCTGCCCAGTTGTCTAGTTTTTGTTATTTTTTATGCCTAAATTGAATAGATTTAGTTCTAGCGTTAAAGTATGAAGATATTCCACTTTAATTAAGGCCACCTTTAAAATATATCTGTTTGCTGTTGCCGACCAAAAGGATGCAAGGAGTGGATCGTTATGGGTATTAGAAGGCTTTTTTTTGATGATATATGATTTTCACAGAACTCGAGTATATATATATGCTTGGTCATCATCAGCGATGACGAACCTGGCGATGACGAACCTGACATGTATTAGACAGTAAACAAGAGCTGTCGGTAGGACAGCAACGCTCGACTATTCTTAGTGCTTGATAGTAAAAAAAATGCTTGATAGAGTTACCTCCTCCTGTTTACAGGTTGGGGTCATGATGGTGAACAAGTGTGCAAAGTTTCAAAGCCATTATGTCAATGGACTTTGAAAATATTTGAACTATTACAAAAACTTTAACGTAAATTCTAAGTCGAAAAAGGGGCATAATTCTGTCAATATGCTTGATAGAGTTACCTCCTCCTGTTTACAGGTTGGGGTCATGATGGTGAACAAGTGTGCAAAGTTTCAAAGCCATATGTCAATGGACTTTGAAAATATTTGAACTATTACAAAAACTTTAACATAAATTCTAAGTCGAAAAAGGGGCATAATTCTGTCAAAATGCTTGATAGAGTTACCTCCTCCTGTCTACAGGTTGGGGTCATGATGGTGAACAAGTGTGCAAAGTTTCAAAGCCATATGTCTATGGACTTTGAAAATATTTGAACTATTACAAAAACTTTAACATAAGTGGTTACGCCGACGCCGACGCTCGGGTGACTGCAATAGCTCTACTTATTCTTATCGAATAGTCGAGCTAACAATAACTAGAACTCCGCGAGTCGGATGTGTCGCCTTGTGAACAATGTAGTTTAGGGGAAATGGCCAGGACAAAAATGAAATATGAAAAATAACAAAGGGCAATAACTAAAAAAATAATAAGTGCAGAGCAGCAGTTTCTGTGCACTGCACTTCTTATCAATAAGATCTATCATTCTATGATGTTTCAAGTCCATAGCTTTCATACTTGAGGAGAAATGACCAGGACAAAAATAAAGTAAGAAAATCAACAAAGGGCAATTACTCAAAAATAAGAAATGCAGAGTATCATTCTTATGCACTGCACTTCTTTTTTAATGAGATCTATCATCCTATGAAGTTTCAAGTCCATAGCTTTTATACTTAAGGAGAAATGGCCCGTACAAAATTAAACAAGAGCTGTCCGTAAGACAGCGCGCTCGACTTTTTTATTGCTTGCCAATAAAAAAAGTTTTTGCAGTAAAAGGCAATACAAGAATCTCTGTATTTTTAAAGTGAACAATGGCCATGAGCATTAAGATATTTAGTGAAGAATTATTTTACTGAATTGTGTGATACCCTTGAACACTGCAGCAAAGTTTGAAATGTTTAAGTCAAAAGAGGGCTGGTAAAAAAAAAAAAAAAAACTGAGTTGAGCCTTAAATAAATTTAATTCTAAGTCGATAAAAGGCCTTAATTTTTAAAAACAAATCCTTGACAGAGTTACCTTCTCTTGCGTACAGATGGGGGTAATGAATGTGAAATAGCATTAAAAGTTTCAAAGCAATATCTCAAAGGGTTAAGGCAATAAGTGGATTTTACCCATATTCAATGTATTTTCTAAGTCAAAAAGGGGCATAATTCTGTCAAAAACCTTGACAGAGTTATGTCCTCTTGTCTGTTGATGAAGGTCGTGATGGTAAACAAGTATGGTCAGTTTCAAAGCAATACCTCCAATGGTTTTGAAATAAAGTGAGGTGGTACAAAAAACTTAACCAAGCTCAATACACTTTCTAAGTCAAAAAAGGGCCATAATTCTGTCAAAAACCTTGACAGAGTTATGTACTCTTGTCTGTAGATGGAGGTTATGATGGTGAACAAGTATGGTAAGTTTCAAAGCCATACTTGTAATACTTCTGAAATAAAGTGGGGTGGTACGAAAAACTTAACCAAGGTGTGACGCCAACACCGACGCCGACGCCGGGGCGAGTAGGATAGCTCCCCTTTTCATAGAAAAGTCGAGCTAAAAATGAAAATAAACAAAGGGCAATAACTCAAAAAATAAGACATGCAGAGTACCAGTTCTTGTGCACTGCACTTCTTCTTAATGAGACCTATCATCCTATTAGCTATATGAAGTTTCAAGTCCATAACTTTTATACTTTCGGAGAAATGGCCAGGACAAAAATTAAGTATGAAAATTAACAAAGGGCCATAACTCAAAAATTAAGAAATGCAAAGTACCGATTCTTGTGCACTGCACTTCTTAATAATAATATCTATCATCCTATGAAGTTTCAAGTCCAAAGCTTTTATACTTAAGGAGAAATACTTAAGGAGAAATGGCCCGGACAAAATTAAAAAATGAAAATAAATAAAGGGCAATAACTCAAAAAATAAGAAATGCAGAGTACCAGTTCTTGTGCACTGCACTTCTTCTTAATGAGACCTATCATCCTATGAAGTTTCAAGTCCATGGCTTTTATACATTAGGAGAAATGGCCCGGACAAAAATAAAGTATGAAAATTAACAAAGGGCAATAACTCAAAAATTAGGAAGTGCAGAGTACTGGTTCTTGTGCACTGCATTTCTTCTTAATGAGATCTATCATCCTATGAAGTTTCAAGTAAATAGCTTTTATATTTTGGAGAATGGCCCGGACAAAATTAAGGTATGAAAATCAACTAAGGGCAATTAATTAACTATGGGGAATAACTCAAAAATTAAGTAGTGCAGAGCAACGGTTCTTGTGCACTCTACTTAGGGTTATTGAAAGAAGTAAACATACCAAGTTTGGAGTCAATCAGACTTATAGTGACTGAGTTATGCTCCGGACAAGCCTTAGGGGACGCTGCCGCCGACAACGACGCCGACGCCGCCGCCGCCGACACCGCCGACAAAAGTAACCCCTATATGTCACCTTTTCAAGGCGACACAAAAATGAAATTATTCACATTTATGTATTTCCATTTATTGACCATTAGTAAATTTAGTTTAATGGCAAAAATTTGCTAAAACATTGTCGTGAAATTGCTTTAGTGAGCAAATTTTCACTGTAGATCTGTCCGCGCTCTGCAACAAAAGTTCGCTCTATAGCATAAAATTTGTTGCTGTTTGCGACGAAACTAGCTCCCCGCATATCACAACTTTTGTTGGGAGTCCCGTTGCCTGTACTTTAAGCATGAGACTTGACAGGTACTTACAAAATGTTAACAAAATCAACCAACCACATTGATCACTCAGGTACAACATCTGGAATTATATTTACAATACAAGCTCCTCTATATTCACAGTTCAAAATAAATTGCCAAAGTTCTCTTACACTTTTGTTGTCAAATAAATAAATTCGTTTACTGTATTCATCCACATGGAAATCAAAATTTTTAACACTGCAAAATTCTACACATGCAAATAGATGTGCACATCTCTTCAATCTGATATAAGAACGTGCAGTTCTATTTTCTTCCATAACTAGTTCCTCCAATAAAAAAAGTCATTTTTCTTGAAAAAGTAATTAGTTGAACATTTAATATAAACTGTTTAAAAAAAAATAATTCCACAATTTTCAATTTCCATAAAAGCACATGATAAATCCAAGATGGCTGCTTGCTATTTCCTGTTCCTGTAACAATATACAAAATAGTGGGTTTTAATGTTTTCTGTATAAACTGGCTCTGTGCATCAGTAAATTTTCATACCTTTATGATGAATATTGTAAAAAAATTAGCAAGGTATCTTGTTTGAAAATTCAGTATAATAATACAAAAAAATATTATATAGTCACAGTTTTTTATTAAGGGGTCTAATCCTAGTGTCAACATGTATATGACTATCAAACTGATTCCAAACATCAGATACGAATATTTTTTCAGAATTTTATTAAAATTTGCAAACCTTACCAGTAACCTATATCAATGTGGAAAAATATTAATTGTTTCTGTGAAATTTCAGTGAAATAAAGGTACTCATGCTGCATAAACTGCATACCCCGCATAAAAATTTGTATAATTCATCATAATGAATTCTAAAAATTTCTAAAACTTAACGATAAACTGATTATTTTAATAAAGGTAATGTTTTCCATTGCATTGCAAAAAAATAAAAAACTGGTCTAGGTACCTTTTCCCTCTTATCATGCATGTCATTATACAAGGCTGGGTATATGATCTTCTGGGGTATTTGGAATATTATAAATAACATCATAAAAGTAAAATTGACCTTGGGTCTATCATACAATATACACCACTAATTGAGATATTTTGACAAAATAAATAGTCACAGAAGTTAAGTGTCCTTTATTACTGAGCATATTGACTTGAATATCACATGTTGTTGTGCTTAGTAATATATACACCATATCCAATCTTCCTTGTCATATGTAGACTAGACACTAGAGAACATTTATTGATAAACACAAGTTCAAATACACTAAATGAACCACATCTGATCTATATATTTATGAAAACGAAAACATTACCTTTTAAATGTAAACACAACAGCATGAAGGACTAGCAACTAGGCCCAGGTCTCATTAAACTGTCCCAAGTTTCTAAGGTATTAATAATTCTTGTAACATACCTCAATATTACAAAAGATATAACCATCATAAAAACTAATATGATACCTAAAATTACACACAAAATACAAATTAATATGTTAATCTCATCCATTTTTAAGGAGATACAATTCCATTCCTGACCTGGCAAGCATCCATTTTTAAATATGGCTACACTTCCTGTGTATAAACATATATTCAGTACCTTATTATGGGGTTTTTATTATTGTGACAAAATGCCTTGCCACACATGTTGCAACTTGTAGTCAATATAGACCTCCCGTTAATTCTATTCCCATGTCAGTTTTTGTGGCACAATTTGTCATTGAATGGTGCTAACTTCCCCGAAAGTTGAAGGCCAGGGCTACATCCCAAAGCCTAATAAAAAAAAAACCTGCAGGGAAAATTTTTGCAAGAAATAGAGTAACACAAAATAAGGAAGCAATAGTGTTTTAGATATAAAATAAAAAAACATGTTTTTGGGAAAAAAAAATCAATTTTTTCAAAAAATTTTTAAAAAACAAAATATTACTTTCTGCAGCAGTTTTCCTTTAAATAAAAGGGTTGTTAATTTGAAATTCTTCAACTTGTTTTACTTTTTTTCCAAATTTAAGCCGGGTAATCAAATATAGTGCCCAAATTTTTTGTTTTCAAAGTATGAAATTTGAGAAAATTATAAATAAATAAATTTATAATGCATTTTATCCCTACCTTTTTAAATTCTTTTTCCCAGATTTTGGGATACAATCCTTTCACCAAAACCCTATTTTTTAAAAAGAGCAAAATGTAAATTTGTTTTTTGGTTAAATCTTTTTGTTATTCAAAAAAAAAAGGGTTTTCAGAGAAAGGATCAAATCAAAACCCAAAAAAATTTTAATGCTTTTATTTTGTGTCTCAAAATCAATCTTTTTTTTTTGGTATTTGTTTATCGCTTCCAATAAGTTACCTTAACTGACTTCTTCTGTTATTTTTAGGCAAATTGTACACTAATATATAATGCAGTGTCTAAAAATTTGGGGTCAAGGTCATATTATATGTTTTGAATAGCATAATAATCAATGGAGGTTTTAAAAATATGACATCAAGGTAAGACCAATGTCACAGCATGTTGCACTAAATTCAATGGTGATATGCCTATATCTGAAAACTATAACTTGCATGAAAAAATGGGTCTCGTGTTATGTGACAAATGATTTTTGAAGCAAAATCATTTTTATTGAAAGCTTCAGTTTAAAACAAGCACATGTCAGACTGCCTTCAGAAGTTTCTCACTTAAGCACCCTGAGGAAGTAATTAAATCTGGTTAAAAGTTATGTGTATAAATAAAGGGTCAATTTATAAAGTAAAAAAAGCACCCCGAGGAAGTTACTAAATCTGATTAAATGTTATGTGTATCAATAAAGGGCCAATTTATAAAGCAAAAAAAGACATATCATATATTAAACTTACCAGGCACGATCAGAATTGCAGTAACAAGTGGCAAAGTCACAACTTTTACTGGCCATCTCATTGTCTTAGGTATGCCTTGCAGTTGGGCCCATATCATACACCCTGTCAAAGAATCTGGTCTGAAAGAGTAATCAATCAACATCAGAAGGATTTGCAAACACACAATAAAATAACAATAATTTAATGGAGTTTCTTGATGAAACCATACACTTACTTAAGAAAAAATGTAATGGATAAAAAGGGCAAAATATATTTTTTAAAAATGAAGTTTTCTTGTGTAACCCCACACATATTATGGACAAACATTGTTACCCCCATACATGAAGGACATATGTCCACATTTTATGGGGTTGACATTTTTTGTCTGTAATGTATTTGTGGTTTCATCAGAAAACTTCATGTTGAATAATTTTATTTTGTCTATTAGTGGGGTTATTAGGACAAAAATGTTAGCCTCACATACTATGGACATATAACCCCACAACCTATAGACAAAAAAGTCAAAATTAATCATTTAAAATGAAGTTGTCTTATTAAACCCCACACTCATGGACAAAAATGTTAGCCCCACATACTATGGACAATAAACCCCACAACCTATAGACAAAAAAGTCAAAATAAATCATTTAAAATGAAATTTTCTTATTAAACCCCACACTCATGGACAAAAATGAAAGCCCACATACTATGGACATATAACCCCAACAACTATATAGACAAAAAAGTCAAAATTAATCATTTAAAATGAAGTTGTCTTATTAAACCCCACACTCATGGACAAAAATGTAAGCCCCACACACTATGGACATATAACCCCACAACATATAGACAAAAAAGTCAAAATTAATCATTTAAAATGAAATTATTTTCTTATTAAACCCCACACTCATGGACAAAAATGTTAGCCCCACATACTATGGACATATAACCCACAACTATATAGACAAAAAAGTCAAAATTAATCATTTAAAATGAAGTTGTCTTATTAAACCCCACACTCATGGACAAAAATGTAAGCCCCACACACTATGGACACATATAACCCCACAACTATATAGACAAAAAAGTCAAAATTAATCATTTAAAATGAAATTTTCTTATTAAACCCCACACTCATGGACAAAAATGTTAAGCCCCACATACTATGGACGTATAACCCCACAACCTATATAGACAAAAAAGTCAAAATAAATAATTTAAAATGAAGTTGTCTTATTAAACCCCACACTCATGGACAAAAATGTAAGCCCCACACACTATGGACATATAACCCACAACTTATAGACAAAAAAGTCAAAATTAATAATTTAAAATGGAAATTTTCTTATTAACCTCACACTCATGGACAAAAATGTAAGCCCCACACACTATGGACATATTAACCCCACAACCTATAGACAAAAAAGTCAAAATTAATAATTTAAAATGAAGTTGTCTTATTAAACCCCACACTCATGGACAAAAATGTAAGCCCCCACACACTATGGACATATAACCCCACAACCTATAGACAAAAAGTCAAAATTAATAATTTAAATGGAAATTTTCTTATTAACCTCACACTCATGGACAAAAATGTAAGCCCCACACACTATGGACATTTAACCCCACAACCTATAGACAAAAAAGTCAAAATTAATCATTTAAAAATGAATTTTTCTTATTAAACCCCACACTCAAGGACAAAAATGTAAGCCCCACACACTATGGACATTTAACCCCACAACCTATAGACAAAAAAGTCAAAATTAATCATTTAAAATGAAGTTGTCTTATTAAACCCCACACTCATGGACAAAAATGTAAGCCCCACATACTATGGACATATAACCCCACAACTATATAGACAAAAAAGTCAAAAGAATAATTTAAAATGAAATTTTCTTATTAAACCCCACACTCATGGACAAAAATGTAAGCCCCACATACTATGGACATATAACCCCAAAACTATATAAACAAAAAAGTCAAAAATTAATCATTAAAATTGAAATTTTCTTATTAAACCCCACACTCATGGACAAAAAAATGTTAACCCCACACTTTGGACATATAGCCCCACAACAAATAAGTCAAATAAATTTTTCAAAATGAATTTTTATGATGAAACCCCACACTTATGGACTAAATTGTTAGCCCTGCACATTATGGACATATAACCCCACAACCTATAGACAAACAAGAGCTGTCACCGGAGACAGCAAAGCTAAAATACTGGACACAGTACTTAAGGAAGACAAAAAAAATCTATTATGTATTAAAGATACAGAGTTTTGTGATTAATATTGTTACTGTGTGTATACCACACTTGCAAAAATTATATATGTATATAATTATGCAAATAAAACAATAAAACAAGAATATGTTAAATGTTTACTGCAAATATTTGTGCGCATTATATTTAATCAATAAATTCCATGCATTTATTTCTTATTGGAAAATTTGACTTCATAGAAAATTAATTTCTTATTACCTCCCTTTATTCACATGAAATGTTAAATTGGGTAATATCTTTATAAATAATGCTTATTTGAACTTATAATATTGACAGATCTTAATTTAAGCATCATATTTATGACATTAAACCATGAAAAAAATGTGTTACAGGATCTTTAAGTTATAGAAAAAAATATTTGTTAACATATTAACATAAATTCCAAGTTCAAGAGGGAATAATTTCGAAATAGTCAAGCAAAATATGATAATGAACATATAACCTAACAACCTATTATAGGAACTTTTTAAGCATGTTTTTCCTTCAACCGTTAACTTTAAAGCCATTTTTGTTGAATACACATTTTCTGGCTACACTTTAAGTCACACTAAATTTTCTGCTACAAAAAAAAAACAAGAACAAAGATCAACAAGGCAAAGGCAATGTTCACAGGACCTGGCCCCCAACACACTAAACTAAAAAAAAACACACTTGTGACAGTCAAGTGCAATAAACAATTGTAATTAGGACACTAATAACCCAGACGGCCCCAAAAATGCCTGATTTAGTTTTTTTTCTTTCTTCAGTGGTTGTCATAATCAATCAGTCGCCTTTTTATCAATAATATTCTGTACGTAATTGCAGCAGGTGGGATAAAGCAGTTATATGGTTAAAATGTATTGTCACGACCTTGGACCCCAACATGACCATGTACTTCAAAAACAACTGGTATTTGTGCTTGTTATATTGTGCAAAATATAACGCAATATATAGGGGTTGAAGTGTACTGCAAAATCAACTGGAGTTTGTGTTTGTTACATTGTGCAAACATATCAAAATTCATTGATTTTGTTACTATACAAGATTTGTTTTTGTCAACTGTGGATTTTACCGACACTTACATACATGTATATATTCTATAAACAGACATGCCACACAAACACGAACATTCAGTAATTTTTTATAGCATATGTTTCGGCTATATGCCTTCATCAGTGCAAAACATAATAATTTTTTTTTCTTATATATATTCTATGTCATTCAATCATTTTCAAGCACATAAGCAGCAATTTAAGTACTTTTGAAAAGAGCAGTCAAATTTAAAGGACTTTAAAGCACTTTTATCATTTGGAAGCACTTTAAAAAAAGTACACAAATTTAAGCACTTTTTTCAGGCTGTACCCCACCACTTTATGGGCCAAAAAACCACCAAAAAAAATTACTCAAAATTCAATTTTCTGCAAAAACCCCACACTTATGGACAAAAAAAGTTAATCAAATACAAGTTGGACATAAAACCCCATAATGTCATAGACAAAAAAAAAGACAAAAATTATTTAAAGTAAATGAAGTTCACTGTTGAAACCCCACACTTATTATGGACAAAAAATGTTAACCCATAAACTGCGGACATATAGCCCCACAACATGATAGACAAAACACACAAAATAAATTAATTAAAATCAAGGTCACTGATGAAAACCACACACTTATTATGGACAAAATTTGTAAACGTTATACACTGTGGAAATATAGCCCCACAACTTGATAGACAAAAAAAAGTTCACTGATGAAACCCCACAAATTGTGACAATTATCATTGACAACAATGTTAACCCCATACATTATAGACATTTAACCCAAAAACTTAAAGAAAAAAATGGAGGAAAAATTGGTTGGGAATATAATTAGTGTGTAAAATCAGATCAAATACTCCTACAGTCCCTTCGTAATTTAAAGTAGTATTTAATGAAGTAAAAGAGTAGAAAATAATAATTGTTTCCTGCACATAGTACATCCTGTAGAATGAGAGACTTTCAAACATATTTTACAAGAATCCGGGTCAGCTCTGCCCTAAAACATACTCGGCCCCGAGTCAGCTCGGCCCTGTTCCAACTCGGCACGGGTCAACTCGGCCCACTTTTGAAAATGGGTAAAAGGACATCAAAGGACTCCTATTGTCACGGGCTATTTTTATTGATCAATGTGTATGTTAAAGATACCGATTAATTTAGGTGATAATTATGATTGACTCATTCATTCAAATTTGATTAGTGACCACCTGCAATTAATTAGAAGCTTATGCTATTAAGTAAACACTTTTTTTGTTTCATATTTTTTTTGAAAATTACTTTACAAACAAAATGCATCTAAGGAAACACATTTTTATTATATCTATATTCACAGGCACAAGTTTCGGACCTGGAAGAAAATATATGAAGATATTTTTATCAATCTGTTCATATTTTTTCTTCCCAGGTTTGATAATCGTGCTGTGTCTATATTAATTTTATCGAATCTGCAAGACAAATAAATAACTTTTTTTTCTAAACATATTTTATTTCAGCAGAGGTACAATGCATCATTATATAATAATAATAAGATATTTCTTATTATTCATTTACCTTAACAACATGCAAAGCAAAGTAAATACGTTAGAGCTCTATATATTTTTGTAAAGTGGGCTGAGTTGACCCGTGCCGAGTTGACCCGTGCCGAGTTGGTATAGGGCCGAGTTGACTCTTTTCCTTTTACAATGCCAGGGATTTCACACTGTCAATAACAGGCAAAAAAATATGCATTATAAAAGGCATACCATATATTTAAATAACATTTTAACTTTTTTTGTAAGTAGAAAAATATAAATAGCAAAAAGAAAAATATCACACATTCAAATATATACCTGTAGTTGGCTGTCTTAAGGCAAGTTCTGCAAACTGTTGCACTTATATTGACATTAATGTTATAAAACTCACAGAATGCCATTATTTCCTGAACTTCTGATTGCTCATATATTTCAAACCCATACATTTCCTGAGTATTTCATTTTTAATGAACCGAGATATAAATCTACAGCCTAATCCATTTAAAAGCATGTAGGACATCATCAATTTTAAGTTCCAAACAACTGGTTTGGACACAATCAGCACTTCTATAGACCTAATTGGAGCCATGGTAATTTTAACTTCGTTCCAACGAATGGAATACAATTAAAATTGTTAGGTAAAATACATGCGATTATAAACAGAAGTATTGAATTCAAAAAAATCAAATGCTTAAAACTTTCCATTTTTTATTAGCGTATAGTCGTTAGCAGTATTCAAATTTTAATCTGTTCAACACTACTCCACCCACTCTGAATTACATAAAGACGCGTTGAAAAATGGCGAGACGGAAGTAATTCACGGTTTTGACCCGGATATTTGTGACCCGGATGTAACATAAATATTTCCTAAAAGACACCAACAAACCTTAATAGTACATAAAATAAAAACAGCACAAGCAAACTCTTACCTTGACAAGGCAGCCATTATTACACATGTGCAATACGCCGGCGAAGTGCGCATGCTCAAAATGACCTCCCTATGGAAAAAGCCGAAGCACTCGATTAGTTTTGCATCACGTGATAAGAAAACATCTAAGATTAGTCTCCCTTTGAATTTTTGTGGAATTTACGGTGTTGTCCGTACTCCGAGTCCAACCAACAATAGGTTTTAATTTGTGGGGTCTTTTTTTCTAGACCCAGAACGACAAAAATAAACGATCAATCTCAATCAGCATGTGGGGTCGACCCCACATGTGATTTTAACCCATAAATACCATATAGACTTAAGAAATACCCCACAATGTCTCTCCCCTAAGAGCGGACGGACTGACGGACGGACAGGGCAAAAACAATATGTCTCCCCCCGAAGAGGGGGAGACATAATGAATGAATGTAGGAATAAATAAATGAATGATTGGTTGATTGATTAAATAAATAAATAAATAAATAAATAAATAAATAAATAAATAAATAATAAATATATGAATAAATGAGTAATGAATGAAGAATGTATGAATAAATAAATGAATAAATGAATGAATGAATGGTTGATTGATTGAATGAATGAATGAATGAATGAATGAATGAATAAATGAATGAATGAGATATCATTGTTTTTTTTACATATGCAAGTACATGTATTATATTATGTATAGCCTATATTTTATAGGACATATATCAAAGTAAAATTTAATTGATGTGTGGACAATCCCGATTTCATCTTCGTGATTTCACAATTATTTTAATTTTCACGATTTCAACTTCACAGATTTTATTATAATTAATTCATGTCTTGAACATCACAATTTCAACTTTATCATTTTCTCATGTTTGGCTTATCATTATAAAATATTATAATAATAATAAAAAGGAAATTACAAAATAGCATGATTCACCATAGATGCAAAACAGTTCTATCTAATCGTCAATCGCAATTGTAAAGTATTCGCTATTTATCTGTGTATGCTAAAAAGCAAACCAAGCGGTATTGAGCTAGAATACCGCGTCTGCATGTTACAGGTGGATGTCTTACACGTCCTGTTCACTAACCAAATTATTTGTACGCAATTGAAGCGTTAATAACTCCAGGAAATTTTGCATTGTGTTAAATGTCAAATGTTTGAGAAATATATGATCAGACTATTTCTTTACTCTTACAGGAAATAGGCTATTCAGAAGTAAATTTTCATTCGCTATTTCTATATACAGAAGCCGTATTTGCACGAATACGGAATTTCGTATTTTAGTAATATACGGACTTGTTATAAAAATTCCGTATATTAGTAAAATACGGACTTCGTATATCAAAGTTCCCGTATATTACGAGTGTACGGAGTTCGTATACTAGTCATATACGGACTGATATAATATATGGTCCCGTACATCTCCGTATTTCAAGTTTCCCGTATTCTTACACGTATATTAATGATATACGGAATTCCGTCCACTTCCGTATATCCATGTCTTTTTCGCAGTGGAAGTCATAAAAGATTAAAACAATCATTTTACGGCAGAATCTTTTTGTAGTCATTTACTTAAATAAACATGTACAAGTATCATTCTATAGATAGATAATCAACAGCACCTTTCATGAACCACATCTGTAATAAAAGCCGTGCATGAATATTATATGGCTGTATTGACTTTTGCTTATTTCACTTATTTCGCAAGGTATATTCTTTGTATCATTACTAAAGACAGAATAAACAACAGCCATGTCAACATGGCCATCCCTCGCCGAATGTGTTTGCTCATTTGAAGAATATATATGTAGTAGAGCAGAATAATTCAATTTTAAGAGGTCTTTTGGTAATGAAAACTGATGGCTGAAGTGATTACTTCCGAAATATCTTGATAGTTGAATAGTTAGACTGCTTGTTGTCCTTTAAAGAGTTGGATAGAAGTGACATTGCATTTACTAGTACACAGACATCTCAAATATCTGGTGCTAAAGTACTCTTTTGCTTCAATAAAACCTCTTGAAGTGATTTGAAACCTATGTGAATACTGATGGCTGAAAATAACAAAGGGCAATAACTGAATAATAATGCAGGGTAAGTTATCATTCTTGTGTGCTGCACTCCTCCTTAATAAGATCTATCCACCTATTTAGTTTCAAGTTGATATCTCAAAGGCTTTTATAGTTATGCTCTGGACAAAAATTAAGCATGAAAAATAACAAAGGGCAATAACTCAAAAATTATGCAGGGTAGAGTTATCATTCTTGTGTGCTGCACTCCTCCTCAATGAGATCTATCCACCTATGAAGTTTCAAGTTGATACCTCTAACACTTTTTTAGAGATAAGCTCCGGACAAAAAGTATGAAAAATAACAAAGGGCAATAACTCAAAAATTATAATGGGAAGAGTTATCTTTCTTGTGCTCAGCATTCCTCCTCAATAATTATTATGAGTTATGCGTCACTCAGGTGAAAACCTAAGTATGAAAAATAACAAAGGGCAATAACTCAAAAATTATTACAGGTAGAGTTATCATTCTTGTGCACTGCACTCCTCCTCAATGAGATCTATCAACCTATGAAGTTTCAAGTTGATATCTTAAATACTTTTTGAGATATGCTCCGGACAAAAATGTCGGACGGAAGTACGGACGGAAGGACGGACGGACGGAGACTATATCTATATCCCCCGCCGACTTTCGGCGAGGGATAATAAACAATATCATGATCACAAGGTGTTAAAAACATGAGACACTAACTGTTACTTATTCAACATGTCGATCAACAAATTTTGTTGTCTTTTTGTGTTCGACAAAAAGGTGTGATTTTCATTATATTTCTGCTGAAGGGAACAGAGATCAGGTTTGAGAGTTTGAGTGATCAGAGTTCGAGCAATCCAAGTAGAAAAATATACGTTATATAGGAATTTTGCCGGGACTGGTTGACGAGTTCAAGCAAAGGGAGGTATTAGAGAGATCTGAGTTCGAGGGAACCGAGTTTAACTGTATGTACATTAATACTTGAATATCAGACAAGTCTTTCTGTTAGTTTTACAGTTGCTGACAATTTCATCTGGCATGTGGGAGGTGGGGGTGAGGTGAGCGTACCAGTTGATGACTTTGTTTATAATAAAGCCACTGTTTCAAGGATATCATTTAAAAGAAGATATGAAATATTGGTGTTTGAGTTATGAACCTTCTTGCTGGATAGCTGTCTCACATGAAAGAATCCGAACATAATTATACTTCTTATAATCAAGCTTTACATGTTATCAAGCACCTTATGAAGCATATAGAATATCAGAAGAAATGTAATTAAACACAAAAATTATTCAAATTTTAATTTCATTGTGTACAAACCTTATTTCCATGTTTAACAGCCTGTAGTATAATCTCAATAACTGTCGTAGTTTTCCCTGTACCTGGTGGCCCGTGAACCACTGCTAACTCTTTCTGTGCCAGAGCAAACTGGACGGCATCTTGTTGCGACTCATCTAGATTCTCATTAATAAACTTCAAGTCTGTAAAAGAGGCAATATCTGTTAGCATTGTTTCAATGTATGATGTGAACTTTTAATTTTCTTCTGTCAAGTCCTGGTACCAATGTGGTTTTGTCAAGTTCTGGTACCCATTTTGTTTTGTCAAGTTCTGGTACCCATTTTGTTTTGTCAAGTCCTGGTACCCATTTTGTTTTGTCAAGTCCTGGTACCCATTTTGTTTAGTCAAATCCTGGTACCCATTTTGTTTTGTCAAGTCCTGGTACCCATTTTGTTTAGTCAAGTTCTAGTACCCATTTTGTTTGTCAAGTCTTGGTACCCATTTTGTTTAGTCAAGTCCTGGTACCCATTTTGTTTAGTCAAGTTCTGGTACCCATTTTGTTTAGTCAAGTTCTGGTACCCATTTTGTTTTGTCAAGTCCTGGTACCCATTTTGTTTAGTCAAGTCCTGGTACCCATTTTGTTTTGTCAAGTCCTGGTACCCATTTTGTTTTGTCAAGTCCTGGTACCCATTTTGTTTGTCAAGTCCTGGTACCCATTTTGTTTTGTCAGGATCCATGCTGTTCGCTCACAAACCCTATAACTAGTAGAGAAACTGACAGTGAACAGCATCGATCTTGATCAGACTGCGGGAATGCGCAGGCTGGTCTGTATCCATGCTGGTCTCAAACCCATTATGTTGGTTTTGTCATGACGCGGCTCAAATAATCATGTAAACTACATGTGATTATTCCATTTAAAATTACTAGTTTAATGAACATTCTATGTTTGGCATAAACATTTACCTTGTATATTGTTTGGAGGCGAGAGGGGCTGTTCATCAAAAAGCACAGACACCAAGTTTGCACACTCCCCACGCTGAACCTTTGACAGATTTCCTAGAGTTCTAAATTTTAAAAAAACATCATGGAATAAATTTATTGCTATTTTATGCATTTTATCATGTTTTTTTACATGTATGTATAGTTAAACAAACTTTGCCAAGTAGACTACCTTGGTATTTAGACTAGCCTGGTTCTATACTCACAACATTTTTGTTTGTTTGTTTTATTTTACGCCTTTTCCCAACAGTATTTCAGTCATATAGGCGGGTAGTTTCCTAACCATCGTTCCTGGAGAGTTACACCAGTACTAGACTACCTTCCTCCGCACTTAACTACAAAAGCATCTCCCGGGGATCGAACCCACACCAGAGAGGTAACTTGATTAGAAGTCATCGACTCTAACCCCTCGACCACGGAGGCGGTACTACTCACGACATGGGCAGTTTTGATTTTAGAACAATTTCTAAAAGGTATAATAGAAATCAAACAAAGAAGAGACAGAATCTAAGAAGAAATGATTAAATGACATCAATTTGTATCTTTCCTTATTTTGCTTGCCAATGTTGTGAAACCCGTTTGAGTTACCTTTTTCTGGGTATTCTGTAATACAGCAGTTGCCAATTTAAGGTGACAACAGACACTTGCCGTGGTACTCACATAAATGGCATTTAAACCAAGTTATTTTAGTAATGATTGTTATTTATTTAATCTTTGTGCATTAAATGTCGTTGATCATCATAAAAAATAACATATTTGAAAAAAATGCCTTTGTAAATGATTGATTTTGAATAAAAATCCTAAAATTTTAAATCGTCATATCAAAGTCATTTTTTATTTTTTTGTCATCAAACTTTTGGAAAATAACCATACTTATATTATCTAGGGAACCGTGTCTCAATTTTTTTCTATCTTTTCTCAAAAAAATATTACGTAACGTCAAACATTTTATGCGACTTTTTTCACCATACATATTACGTAATCAAAGATAATTAAGTGGCTGATTGAGCAAACAAAAATCCCTGACACGGTTCCCTCCGAAAATGAATTTCCTTTCATGTGCTTTAAACCGCATGTTAATTGCTTGATTCTTAAAAAAGTTATGCCGATTCAAAGTTAGCCCGACACGCATCAAACGAAGTGTCATAAATCGGCTGTTCTCTCTCGGACCCCTACGTTTCACGCTAAATAATTGCATAATACACAAATATCGCACCAGAGAGGATCACAAGTTGCGGTAACATACTCTAACAACATTTTATGACCCAGTGACATCTGACCAATTAAAAAGCTGCTGATTAATATCAGTTTATAGTCGAAATTTCTTCAATTTTTAACGTGATTTACTGTTCGTCTGATATCTGTCGCACATGTCACGTAACTATCGGTAAAATTTGAGGCACTCAGTGGGGGGAAATGGAATGCATTTGCGCACCGCTAGCGGGGTATTTAATTGTTTCCTTTTTGAAGTGTATTATTATTATCAGCAGCAGTATTATTGTATTATACCAGTGTCCCTCTGCCTGTGTATTCGTGTATGAAATTCCGTTAAAATATAAAATAAAATAACAACAAACTGAGCTTCTGACGGTCTTTTAAAGTCCATGGTAGATGTACAAATAAGAACGGGATGTTATATATTTTTTTCCACCAAATTGATAATGCTTCACACAATTTAATAGAAACAAGCAATTATCATAGTATTGCAAGCAATCCATAAGTCCCCTACCGGTAAGAGCCCAAGCAACATTCTGAAGGGCCATTCACTTATGTTTCTATTTTAAGTAAATTTGTTGAAAAAGTTCTTTAAAAGTGATCACAGTGAACAGACAGACAGATGGACTGAAGGACAGTCTAAAGTTATTTTTTAAACATCCCTGTTATCAAAATATAACATTTTAAAAGCAAGATTTAAAAAAAAAGGAGATAACGATGTCATACATGATGTGATTGTAACAAAGAACAATTAGTAATGAAGGTATGAATATTGAATATTTATTTTGAAATTGAAGTAAATGAAAGTTAAAAGAACAAATAGGAAAAATTAAAAGTTTAAGGAGGAGATAATTCTGGAAATATGGATGCTAGATTTATAAACCTTGTCATATTATAATGATGTGGGAGTTTGAAGAAAATTCTATCATGATTGAAGAAGTTGGAGTAAAAATTACCAATTTCTCAAAAAAAAAAGTCTAAGTTCAAAAGGGGATAATTCTGGAAATAGTCTTGCAACACTCACAAATGTTGAGTGATAATAAGAACATTTATATGAAGTTTGAAGTAGATACGTTCAGAAAAAAAAAAGTTATTAAAAAAAAACAATGTTTTTTTTCATGAAAATTTTAAGTTCAAGGGAGGTAATTCTGATAAATTTTGTGCTAGAGTTGTAAACTTTGTCACATATGATGTGTGGTTGATGACTAGCAACTTATTTTTAAAGTTTGAAGAAAATACCTTAAGAAATAAAGAACTTATAGTGAAAAAACTTAAAAAACTAGAATAACAAATCTTGAAATTCAGTCTATTTGTTGCCATAGCAACCAGAATTTTCAACACAGGAAGATAAGAAAAAGGATGTGCATAATTTCCATACTGCAATCTACCCATATGTCAAGTTTCATAAAAATATTTTCAATACTTTTTGCGTTATCACTGGATCCAGGTTATGTGTAAAATCTGCCATATTTTCAGTCTATTTGTTGCCATAGCAACCAGAATTTTCAGCATAGGAAAAAAAGAAAAAAGACGTGCATAATCTCCATACTGCCATCTATCCATATATCAAGTTTCATAAAAAAATTTTCAGTACTTTTTGCGTTATTGCGGGATCCAGGTTATGTGTAAAATTTGCCATATTTTCAGTCTATTTGTTGCCATAGCAACCAGAATTTTCAACATAGGAAGAAAAAAAAAAGACGTGCATAATCTCCATACTGCCATCTATCCATATACCAAGTTTCATTAAAATATTTTTTGTACTTTTTGTGTTATCGCGGGATCCAGTTTTGTGGACGGACGGACTGACGGACGGACAGACGGACGGACTGACGGACAGACGGACGGAGGGTAAACCTAAAGTCCCCTCCGATAAACCGGTAGGGGACTAATAAAAGGTATTACTCGATCAATATGATCTGGCCTTCTTGACTTCTATTATCATGAATATCATCTATGCACGGCATAGAGATCCAGTTTCTACCGGGATAGACAATAAATTACATACTTTGTCCAGATTTATTAGTACTGTGTCCGATTTACTGGCGAACAATTATTTTCACTGAGAATATATTTTAATATCTTTTTTTTTTATTCATAGAGAAATAATCATCCTTAGACAATCTAAAATGGTTTATAAATTTGCCAGGAACACCTTACCACAAGTCATATAGGCGTTCACATAAAAAATGTTGTCTGTTTTTGTTGTTGTTTTACTTGACATTGTTAGAAAACGAGGTTGAATGTAAAGTAAGCCCTTGAATCCGTACAAAAGTCTATCAACTCAATGAAATATCTATCAGATTAACGGGACAGACAAATTATTTTAAAACATTATGGATATTATAGCAACTACATTTTTAATCAACCCCGTGGTCGTGCGATTTGCCGCTATGCTTAATTATTTATGTTTCATACATTACGTTGGCCGACAATTTCTTAATTTATAAAAAAGGCTAAATGTTGAGATATTCATAAAAGATGTACGGTAGTTGTATGATACATGTATTACGAGAAGTATGGACCAGTATGGACCTGTAATTCACGGATATATGCAACTACCGATTTCCCTCATTGATGCCTCAACAGGGGGCGGAGCATTATCGATAATCGACAGGTCACGCAAATAGCAGATACAAATAGTATAGGTACCGTTTTAAAACGTTTAAAAACACATTTTTAGGACTAACTGCTTCCAAAATTAAATCACGAATGTGTTCAGAAAAGGTTGATAAATCTACTTAGCAAAAAATCTCATTTTAGGTATTTTCAGTGATAATTGACTCCGTTGTCACCTTAAGAGATTTATTTGTTGTTTTTTTTATGTTAAATAGAGAACATCATAATCCCTAAAGAATACACAAAAGGACAAAAAAAGAAAATGTTGCAGGCTCGGCTTGATTGAACCTGTTCATGGATGGAAATGGAAAGTGCAAGTTATCATCACGGCACCCTAGCACATGCCTGGTGAAGAGCCGATATGTGACCCGAGTTTTTAAGGCCTCATCCTCAAGACCAATAGTACTGAAAGTCCTTGGGTGGACATCAATCCTGCAAAACCTTGATAAGTAGTCAAACATTATACTACTGGATCAAAAGATCTGCTCCTAAAATATGTCCCTCACCTCTTTAGCCTTTTATAAGTGACATCATTAGCCAGTTTTGTTAGTTTGTAATAATCACTAGGCCCATCATCCAATGAAAAGAGGTCTTGTGACTCATCAAATGCTACACTGACAGCTGATTGGCTAACTTTAGTCACAAGACCTGATCCAAGGCTGTCTGATTGGTTGTCTCCCTGTGATGTGTTTAAACCAATGATATCACCTAGAAATATAAAATGTTCTTGTTCAGCTTATTAGACGAATGTAATCAAACTGGATTTTTTTAGTGTTTTGCATGATTACAAAAAGTACAAACGATCATAATAGCACAACTTTTTCTTCAAAACAGAGGATCTAACAAGTTAAAAAGGGGCGTTACTAAAAAAAATATTAGCTTCAAAATTATGACCTTTAACTACCAATTGCAGCTTGTCTTGTCATATGCAAGTATTCCAAGTTTTAACTTTTAAAATGTTTGAATAATGGGCTATATTTAATTTTCTGCACGAGGACTATGACTTTAACAAGGCTACAGTGATCATATAAGGTCAACTTTTTCTTTGAAACAAACAAGCTTAAGTTGTATTTACTTTACTTACCTGGTGAGAAGCTGTTGGAAGGAAGGGCTTCAAGATGGGTCTCAAAACTGATGATAACTCTGCCAAACAGGCCTGTCTTCCTACTGCTTATATGTAGCTTCAACAGGCACACACCTCTACGCTGAAGCTCTTTTGATGGCAACTTCTCTGTCAATGACCTATACAGACATGAATATAAAACTAATGTTAGTTTCCTTAATATTAATTATATATCATTTATATGTCCAGAGGTTTTTTGTTGTTGTTTTTTTTCACAGGTAGGGGGAGAAGCCCTTCCCTTTGACCTGGGGGATTTTTTCTTTCTTTTTGAATCAGATTGGGTTTTATGTCACACCAACACATTATACAGGTCATGGTCACAGATGTTCAGCTTAACTGGTGGAGGAAGACCTCATGTCCCCTTTCATGCATATTTTCACGCACAAATGGGCACCTGAGTAGAATCACCAACATTTGGTAAGCTAGCTGAATAGTTTCCTCACATGATAGAATCCAAAGTCCCTGTCGGGATTGAACCCACAGCATTGAGGGGCAGGCCCAAAGGGCCTGCTAGCAAAGCGGGCTTTACAGTAAAGCGAGTACCTGCTAGGTGATGGTTGTCAGAAGTACTGAATTGACACATCGCAACTTTCAGAATTACAAAATAACGATAAAAGCCGATGTACTCTGATTGAAAACAGAAGCGTTGACTGGTGTCCTGCGCACTTATATGGGAACCATAATAGAAATGAGGAACCAGAATAAACGGAAGCAGTGTATAAAATACCGAATGACAGGGCTCTCAGTAGGGTCAGAATTTCACGAGTCAAAGACTCTTTGGCCAAAATTTTCATGAGTCAAATAATTTTTTTCTAGTGTCATTTGACTACATGAATCATTTTTATGTTACAAAAATTACTGTTTTGGAGGTCATTTTGTGTAGATTCTCAAGTCTAAATTGATAATATTTAACATGGAAAAAATGCCTTGTTATAATGTATATATATATTCCCCCCCCCTCAAAAAAAAAAAAAAAAAAAAAAAAAAAAAAGACAACAAAAAAAAAACAAATAAAAAAAAAAGAATAGCATCTTTACTGTGAAAGAATAAACTAAGCAGCAGCTTTTCTGATTAAAATTTTAAAATACAAAGAAATATCTTTACTGGTATGCTATTTATCATATTAATTTTAAATAACAAAATGCACTAGGAATATTTAATGGAAAATAACAAATGTACAGGCACTCCAAGTAAATCAAAGACATATTATAAACCTTTAAAAGCAATCAATAATTGACACCTCAAGTATGTAATTCTTATCAGTTGTGTAGAGCTATTTTTAGCGCTGTCAAATTGCATCCAATGATGTCGCGCTTCAGTGCACAGGCTATAAACAATGCTGTGTATTACACACGGTGACATTTTTTTAATGTGATTTGAACATGTGTAGGATTTGATAGGTAATTAGGTGTGGATTTAAGGTAATTATTATTGCATAGCTGAAAATCCCAGGTGGCAAATTGACTCTTGAGCAGATTTTATCACGTGTCAAATTTGTGCATTTCCTGATTTTCACGAGTCAAAACCCGGATCCCCGTGTCAAACGAGAGCCCTGCCGAATGACAATTTTAAAACGGAAAATGTAAAATAATCAAAGCACAAAAGGCGCTGAATTTGTTTGGGTCTCAGAATGTCAGAAAGGTGAAGGTTGTGAGATTATAAAACAATTTGTTTATGTATAGTGACACCAATGCTTTCAAGCGTTTTAATTGTAGTAGATTGGCTTTAAGATTAATTACAACACTGATATTCAATCCAATGTTTATTTGACTTAAACAATTTGAAAAAAAAAAAAGTTGCCTTAACTGGGATTTGAACTCCAGACCTCTCGCTTCCTAAGCGAGCGCGCAAACCACTCGGCCACGGTGAAATTATATGTTAACGGCCTGAATAAAAACCATATTATTCTAAATTAGGGTTTATAACTGTTGTTTAACACTTGTTTGAATAATCATGGCGCTTACTATAAGCATGTATATATATAAAGAATAAAACAATATTAGAAATCTTCGACCATTCGGGAATTATTTTGCTTGAAAATTAATGCGCCTGTCATGTGACCATATTTATGCAGTGATCTCGCCTGAATTTTTCGGCTTAGTGTTACATAAAGGGAAGTAACCGCTTCAAAAAAGCGGACTACTTTCGGCATTTGCAATTAACAGCATTAGAGTCTAAAATTTCGCTACCATTATTTGTTTGGTCTGACGACCCAAACAAATAAAAATGAACGATTATTTTAAACTATTTTACAGTAAAAAGAAAATTGAGCTTGCTTTGAGGCTTTGCCTTTTTCATATCATTCTTCAATTATCAATAAGCTGAAGTAATAATGTTTATGAATCTTAAAAAAAAGGTTACTTCTTGGTGAACAAAACATGTATATGTGAAACTTATTTTAGAGGAAGTGGCTAGCCGTACAGACCGGTACGACTAGCCAAAAGTTCTAGCCGTACGTGAGTCACGTACCACTAGCCAGGACACACTGTATTGGCTAGCCGTACGGCACTTTTCAAAAATATATGGAAGATGAAAGTGCATATGTTAATTATGACTTTAAGCGAGGATTTTAGTCAAGAATGTTTACTTTTTAGAGATTAATCAACGTGTTGGCCTACAGTAAAGAATGTACGTACTTTGTCATCTCAAGACGTCGAGAAAAAATAGCGTTTGGTTGCAGTTAAATAACATCAAATTGAAATAGTTAACACAATTTGATAATAATCATTTTTGTTTCATTAAGTTTAATTTTTAAATTAAAAAAAAAAAAAAAAAAAAAAAAAAAAAAAAATACACCGAAAATAATTGTTGTCGGGCTCTGATAATTGGGGTAATTTGCGTCAAATACCGACGGTATAGAAGTTTGTCCATCGTCCATCATTAAGGAAAGTTTGCATTATTAAGTTATTTTTCCTTTTCACCATTTTTTTTAATATCTTTTTATTTATTTATTTATTCCCCTCCGATCATTATTTATTCGATCCATGTGCTTAATTAACAGATTTAACAATTCATCTTTCATACAAATCATAAGCATGAAAATTAAGGACGTTATTACATGCAACTTTGACACTTAATTTTATTAAGATAGATGATTATACAACGCTTACACATATTCATTTTTTTTTGTGCAAAATTGCAGAGCATCTTTATTAAAGTGAACACACTAGGACAAATGGGGAGATTTGATTAAAATCGTCGTTTAAAGACACAAAATAACATATGCATTTTCGACTTTCATATAATTTTGAAAAGTGCCGTACGGCTAGCCAATACAGTGTGTCCCGGCTAGTCGTACGTGACCATACGGCTAGCCACTTCCTATTTTAAAATATCTAGAAAAAAAGTGGCTGATTTGGTAAAGGGCGGCGGCACGAAATACCCAAATATACCCAAATGCACCCAAATATACCCAAATATAGCAATATTTATTTTTGTTTGTATAAAATATAGATTATAATAAGAAATAAATAAACATTTATTAAATATAATATGACTTAGCCTGCTATAATTTTCATTCATTCCGTTGAAATGGACAGTTACGATGTTGTAAGAAAATAAAGTTGTGACATTTGCTTATCTAAGTACTATATAGGTTCTTTATGAATGTACTTGCAATTTTAAATCAAGATATGATATTTGTTGTCTACACTTACATTTTTAAGGTGTAATTTTGTTGAAATTTCATATCAAGTGTCCATGTTATTTAAAAAATAGCTTTAATGGTATACATACTAGTATAGACTGTATTTTGGTTCAAAACACAATGATAGGGAAATGTATATTTGGGTATGGTTGATTATATCTTAGTGAAAATGTATATTGCATTCATGATAAAAACAGCACTTTTTTAGGATAAAATATTTATTTTTAGTATAATTGGGCAATATTTGGGTATAATTAGGCAATATTTGGGTATATTTGGGCAATATTTGGGTGTATTTGGGTATATTTGGGTATTTCGTGCTGCCCGTAAAGGGCCAATATGTCCGAATTAACTCGAACAGTGTGTTACGAACAGAATACATATGGATATGGGCTTCTCTTATTTCGTACAAAAACCTTTTTTTTCAATTTTGCAAAGAAATAATGTTTTATTAGATCTACTGAAAAATTTTAACAAAACGAACAGAAAAAAATATGCTAGGTCGCGAAAACTAATGACAATAAAAAAATTAAATATTTTCAAGATATAGATTTCATAAAAATATTACCTTGTCTCTTCAATTTCTGAGGTCCTCTCTTTTTCCAGAAGTTGAAGTGTCTTAGAAACAAAACTTTCTACGGAAATTCTAGTTTTATCCATACTTGTTTATACTAAAGGGAGGTAACTTATACACTAAGACGATTAATTGATCGAAATATATTAAAAAAGGCCAAAGTATTGAAAATGACAGACAATCATTAATCAAAGTGGCCATGTTGCTTTGTCACCCAAAACTAATCGTCTTGGCACATCAAGCCAACTGAGAAAAGGTAAAAATGAAATAAAAGAAGGATTACTGTAATCAAAGTTGTATACTTTGGGAACCATACGCCGCTTTTCATGGAATGGCACTACTGTGTCACATTGAAGGTTCCATGATAACCGCTGTATGAACACATCTGCGGATGTTTCAAAATTCAAAATTGTACCAGTTCATTTTAAATGTTGAATTCTGCTTAAGCCGGTGCTAGGGGGCGTGGACTGTAGTTTGCACTTGACAGTAACGTCCATGAACAGGCTCAATCAAACCGAGCCTGCAACATTTTCAATTTTGCCCTGTTGGGCTTCCTTTGGGATTCTTATTTCTCTCTATTTTTAAAATAAATAGCGGGAAATGTATAACTGTAATTAAAGCCTTTGGATACACTCAATATGACTAACATACAGTAATATTGTCGGTAATAAAACAACTCCAGTCGAAGACTATTCCTACAAAAAATAAGAGTTTGTTCCGGCTTGATTATACTTAAGCTCAGATAATCACTTCCCTAAGATTTTGCTTTCAGCCAAAATCTGTAATTGTTGCAATGTTATTACTTGCACATGTATAAATATTCTGAATAAAATATGTATAAATCAACCTAAAGCTAAGTATATGGCCATGATGTGAGACTCTCCCTAATGGGATGAGTTCACGTTCTATGTGGGTTAAGAGATCGTTAGTGATTTTGTACACCATGACTACAGTCAATATGATGCTCAATGATCAAATCGTCGCCATTTTAAGATAATCTAGCATGTGGGGAAACACTGGATATGCGTCCTGTGTCAAATTTTACCAACGAAACAGATTTCATCCGGTCAATTTGGGGTTGGCAGACTTCAGAATGATATCATAATGTTTAGTACACTGGTAGATATTTATTTTAATAATTTATATTGGATCGATCTCTTTTTAAATATATCTTACCATTTTAAAGTGCTGAACTTTTTACATTGCATGGACACACCCGAGTTACATTATCTGTTTGTTTTCATGATTTCCGATAATGAGGATTCTAATAGAAAGATCTTAATTATTATGTGTTGTAAATGTAAAGAACATTGTTAAAACTTATACTGTCATGTGCATATATTTATATATTGATATATGTGTATATAATCTGTGTCTTAATGAATAAGGTAGATAAAGTGCCCTGTCCTAAAAAACAAGGGCCGCCCTGTCCCGACATACTGTCCGTTTTGGTATGGTACGCACTGTTGCAGATTCCGCTCTGTCCTCAAATCCGCACCACAAAGCGAAATATAGGTATTAGCAAGGTTCGGGCCATCTTCTCCAACTTTCGGTCTAAATTTGGATAAGATCCCGAACACATTAGTATGAATATACAGAACGGACACGGTATTTCGATTTAATTAACCTACGCTACTTAGAAACTAAACGTATAAACGAGTTTGTAAATGCTTGGATTGTTGTGTTACTTTCTATTCATTAAACCGTGTACATGTCCACTTAAATCAAGAAAATTAATACTCCACTTATTAAAACTTAAAAGGTTCAAAAGCATAAAAGTTAACAATCGAATTTTACATAGATCAAGTGGAACACTTTAAAACACATAGCCATGCAAAGTATTACTAAGAAATATACACAGATAGAATTTTTGTGCTATTCAAATGGAACATAAATCTCGAGAAATCATTCATTATTTAAATATAGATATCTGGAAAAAGTCCAGTCATGTCAACAAACTTTAGTGAAGTCCTTTTGAGAAATGTTGATAGGGATCACAAGGATACAACAAATAAAATTAATATGATTTTAAAGAACATAATTATTTAATGTTTTGTCGGTTTCTTCTTTTTTCTTTTTTCTCTCTTTTTTTCTAAATACACAAAGCGATCCTAGGGAAAAAAATCTAATTTTCTCTCTTTTCTTTCTTTTTCTTTCTTAAGACATAAGTGATGCTAGAAAAAGAAATACAAAAACAACAACAACAACAAAACACTCTATTGAAGTGGTAGCTTTACAAAGAAATGACTATCAATAATTTATTGTCTATTGTGACTTAATTCACATTGCAAATAACAATGCAACTTATTACAGATTAATTCAAACCGCCTATATATACTTAAGTCACATATAACGCATATATATTTCAGTTATTGCTATGCTAAATCTTGCTTCTTTTCCAATAAGGCAAGACAGTGAAACTGAGTGTAACTGTGGAATTTAATTCCAAGAAAAACCCTATAGCTGTTTTAAATAATAGAGTAAAAATATGTCCCTGTTTTTATGTATATATTCGGTTTTTAATAAACAAAGAGACGGAAGGCCCTTGCAAAAAATTATTGGTCATTTTTTTAATTGCTTGTAAATTAATGTTCATAGTCAGTAAGGGACCATCCCTATCAGGAATCTTCATCATCCTCTCCATTTTGTTGTTTCCCGTTAAAGAACAGACATAATTGTTTCAAACGGGCATTTTTTACTAGCTTCCATTTGGCTTCCTC